ACTGAGACAGTTTCTGTTTTTTGCTTGGTGTTTCCGGTGTTTTGCTGCCTTTACGTTTTGCCATTTCTAGACAATGATTAAAGCATAGAGATGTCAACATTAAATCCCAGAGAAAAATGGAAATGTCAGAGAAAATTACAGATAAGGGAAAATTACAGAAATTTTGACATGTCAGAGAAAATCAACTCAGCATCATAAACATGGGAGAGAAATTTTCAATAATTGTTTAAATTACAGATAGAAGTAAACATACCAGAGAAAATGAATGATAGAAAAAAGTAAACATGGCAAGTGAAAGAAAATTTGCATTCCACAATTAGCAAAGATAAAATAAACAAAGTAATGTAAACATGGCACTGAGAAGTATACCATATTGAAATCAAGAATTGAACAAAATAAACATACCAGAGAAAAATGCACATTCTGGAAAAAATTACACATTCTTGAGGAAATTTCCATTCCAGAGAAAATTTCAATTCATAATATTAAAATGCAAGAAAAATTTACATACACAAGCAGAGAAAATTAACCATGATAGAGACACTCAATGGAGGAAAGTGGTGCGATGTGGTCAGAGAAAATTGTAAATACCAGAGAAACTTAAGACAGAGGCAAGAGTGTAATTGACATTGCAGAGAAGGATACATATTCCAGAGAAATTTACAAAGCAGAGAAATTCAGATACAAAATGACAGAAACATATTCAAGAATAAGATTAAAATTCAGAGAAATAACTTTTTCTCATAGTACATATGGCAGAGAAAATTCCAAGAAGAATCATTCATTCCAGTCCACATTATTAAAATTCCAGAGAAAATTTAAAATGACAAAGACACAAGGGAGGAAAGTGATGTGATGTGGTCAGAGAAAATTATAAATACCAGAGAAACTTAAGACAGGGGCAAGAGTGTAATTGACATTGCAGAGAAGGATACATATTCCAGAGAAATTTACAAAGCAGAGAAAATTGAAAGAACAAAATTACATTAATCAAAAATCAGAGAAATTCAAATGCCAGAGAAATTTACAGATAAAATCAAACAAACATGTTGAAGAATATGTTCAAAATACACAGAAATAAATTTTTTCAAATTCAGGTAGCTTTTTATTACGAAATTGAAACCCTAATTTATGAAAGGTTATTATAAAATGCTATTAACTGTGTTTCCAGAGAAAATCTAGTTGTATTGTAGAAAAACTGACCAGAGTTAGGATGAAACTTGAATGATGAGCTGATATGGTCCGCGATGAAGATGCGACGTGACGAAGATGGACTGAGATGATGATGAGCCGTGAAAACGAAGCTTTAACGTAGGTCAGAGAAATTTGTGAGGAAGGAATGGGAATGATTTTTGGAGAGGATAACGAAGCTGTAATGTCGATGGTGCAGATGATGTTGAAACCCTAATTCTGCTGGTCTCCTGTTCGTGAAGATGCTGGATGTTTGGAATGTAACTGAGACGTCGGAATGAGTTTGGTTCTGTGTTGATTTTGGCGAGGGTATTTTGGTCCACAAAATAATTAAAAACGCGCGCCAAGTTGTTTCAGGGACGTGAGGCATCACTATCTTTTTGTGTGTCCTTTATCCTCTAAATTGTTATTATTAGGGACCTTAAAAAAAAATCCCCTTTAGAAAATGGGGGGAAAAAGGCTTAAAATAAATATTTACAAAATGGGAAAAAAAAAAAGACTCCAAAATAAATTTTTAAAGAAAAAGTCCAATCCGCAAACTACCCGCGAACCTTATCCGTACAAACAGTAATCTGCATTGCAAGCGGTTGCGGGTTAAATTTTTTCCAAATCACATATATGCGAATGAATTCAAATCAATCCGTAAACCGTCTAAAACCAAATCACAATCACACACAAGTGTCCTTCGCTTTACTCTCAAGGAAAATAAAATTGATATTGGATGTCATTAAAATAAGATGGCCTTGAGATTCTTAAAGCATCCAATTAAAGTCACATTTAATTCGTGAAGGTGGCGAGATCGAGATTATTTTTATTTAAGATAAAATTATTTCGTGTTTAGGTTAGATTTTGTTATTCACGACAACTTATCGCGGAATCTTTTCTATTCCTTGTATGTAAAATTATTTTATTTCAAAGTGAGAGAAGTAAAATATTACACTTGATATTCACATATCACATTTATATTATTACAATATAATTTATTTTTTCATTATAATAAGATTGAAACATTAGAATATTATATTTAACATTTATTTTCACTAATTTATTTATCATCTTTCACCTTTTAACACTCACTAATTATAAACCATAAATTATTATTCATAATATATAATATATCTCTTTTAAAAAGTTACAAAATTGACCCATACAACCCCAATCACCCTCGATCTATCCCGCCCGGTGCCATCCTTAGTCACTCCATTCCAACATTGCAATTCAAACTCACCGTATTTTATATGTGAAAGGCATTTTAATTAATCAACCACCAAATAAACATGATCCCTATAACTTCAATGAGTTGGTCGAGCAGTAAAACATAAAAATAAAATCTAAGCTCTCAAGTTTGAGTCTTTCAATGAGTCACTAAAGTGTTTCCAGTGGTTTATTTTGAGGCCTTCAACGATTAATCCTTAACTATTCAGGCACGAAGTGATTTAACTCCAATTACACCGAACTTGGCAGAAGATACCCTTAATTAAGAAGAAGAAGAAAAAAAATATGATCCTTATAATAATAATACCCAAACATTGAACAAAGAAAGTTTCCTAACAAAACCCATCAACAAATATGATTAAAATTGTTGGGAAAATTTCAAAAAAGTAGGACAATTTTAAAATATTTATACCGTGAGTGAAATTTTTGTTAAGTACAAATATGATACACAAAAAAGACTTATGCCAAACATAGAAAAAACTTATGCCATCATAAAAATAATACTATCTCTACATTATCCAACATAAATGCAATTTTCCCAAAATTGTTTTCACACAAAAAACGTGGTCAGGTGAGATCACTATTACAATTTGCTCATCACCAAAATCTAACCTAGGATTCTATCACCTTTTTTTCATACACCCTTCCCCACTCCTCCCAAGTCCCAACCAACATTGTTATTAAAATTATTTATTGATTTAGGAATATCTTTTGTTTCCATCATTTTAAATAGAGTGGGATTCAAAATTAGAATCATAGAAGCTAATTTTGAAATCAATTTATTAGGTTAATAAATTAAGTTTAAACATCTCTTAAAAATAATTATTTTTTTGATAAATATCTACTCACACTAAACTTATATATTTCAATTCAATTGAAATTTGGTAGACTCAACTTAAAAAATAAATTAATTAAATTTGAACACATCGTTAAAGTTGATCAAAATTTAAAATAAAACTTAATCTAATTTATTTTCTAACTCAAGATTTTACTTGTTCAAGAATCAAGACAAATCATCTTAGGAAGACGAAAAATTAAAGCCTTAGTCCACTTTATTTATTTAAGATAATTCAATATAATGTGGAAATCATAATATAATTACTCCACCACCAATATTATTAATATAGATGATCAAATATAGAAGGCAAAAATACTTGGTAGCTCGAAAATGATGGGTTCGAATGGTCTGAATGATTGTTTACTAAACGTCCGCTCGGTCAACCGGCCGGATGTCCGCCCGGACGACCGGATAAAAACTTGTCTACTGCGGTTGTCACTTTTGTCGACCGCTGCTATCAGCCTTCTCACTGAACGTCTACCCAGACTACCGGCAAGATGAATTTCGAGCCATTAATTCGAACCAATCTTCTTTTCGAACTACCAAGCATTGCTCTATAGAAGGAATGTCACACAAAGGATAGTGTGAGGCCCATTTTTTATGAGATAATTGTGTCTATTTTGCGTTTAGTCATGTATGCACTTTTACTCTATTATTAAAGGATATGAGATAATCCAATTTGAAAGAAACTTAACTATAAAGTGGTGTTTTGAAAAGTTGGTAAAAAATTGACTTTTAATTTTTTTGTGACTTTTTGAATTTTTTTATAAAAAAAGTAGAAAGTTGATGTGACAAAAAAAAGCCAAAAAACTTGCTTTTTACTGCCTTCTCAAAACACCAGAAAATTAAGATAATTTAAAATCGAAAAATATAAAAAAATGGCTATATTTGTTTATATTTGTTTTGGTTTTAAGAATATATTTAAAAAAAAAAATCAAGATTAATTTAGTGAAAAATAAAAAAAAAATATTTTCACATAATTTTATTTTTTCAAAGTCAAAACAACTAAAAGATGAATTTTGAATCATTCGAGCCAATATTCTTTTTAAACTGCCAAGCATTACTCTATAGAACGAATGTCACATAAAGGATAGTGTGAGGCCCATTTTTTATGAGATAATTGTGTCGATTATGAGTTTAGTCATGCATGCACTTCAACTTTCTCTTACTCTATTATTAAAGGGTATGAGATAATCCAATTTGAAAGAAACTCAATTATAAAGTGATGTTTTAGAAAGTTAGTAAAAAGTTGATTTAAAATTTTTTTTTTGACTTTTTAAATTTTAAAAAAAAAAAAAATAGAAAGTTGATGCGACCCAAAAAGGCTAAAAAACTTACTTTTTACTGCCTTCTCAAAACGCCAGAAAATTAAGATAATTCAAAAACGAAAAATATAAAAAAATGGCTATATTTGTTTTGGTTTTAAGAATATATTTAAAAAAATTTCAAGATTAATTTAGTGAAAAAATAAAAAAATTTATTTTCACATAATTTTATTATTTCAGAGTCAAACAACTTTAAAAAGTAATAATTTTTAATTTATCAAACTAATTTTTTTTTAATTTTTAATTTATCAAACTAATTTTTTTTTAATATTTAATTTATCAAACTAATTTTTACTATTTAAAAACAAAAAGAATCAGAAAACTGATACTGCGATTTGTAATTTGTTGCAGTAAAGGACGCAAGAGACAACGCAGCCCTGATACATGCATACATACACAGTCTGAGACATATATATATATATATTTTCACACTGGACTATTGCAATCCAAGCCTCCTCCCCTCTCTCTCTCTCTCTCTCTCTCTCTCTGTGCAAAAAACCCACAAATTTTCTCTCTCGCTCTCTCGAATACGTGATCGGATTTGTTCACCGCGAAGTTGCATGTCCGATTGAGACAGTCCCACCGGTGCATATCGGCGTACGGATCAAAATCTCTCTCCAGCGAGGTAAGAATTCTACATTCTACCTCTGCATTCACAGAGTGTGAAAATTTGTATGATTTTTCTTTGCTTTAGTTCAGATCTGTTAATGCTTGATTTGGGAGGGGTTTATTGGTTTTTGATGGTCAATTTGATGTGAATTTTGTGTTAATTGGTTGAAAATTTGAGGGCTTTATTAGGGTTATTGCATGAGATGGAAGATGGAGTGAGATCTAGTGGGGGTTTGGTGAAGAAGAAGAGTTCTTCTGGTTGTTTGATCAGAAAGAAGAAAGTGGAGGGGACGAGTGGGGTTGGGGTTTCTGGGTCAAGAAAGGATTTCCAGTCAAATAAGGAGATAAAAAGGTCGCGGTTCGATTTCAGTGATTCGGAGTCGATTGATGAGTTGCTAGAGCCAGTTCGAAGGAAAGTTGTTTACGGAACTGATAGATTTCGTAATGGTTCGGCTGTGAATAGTGAAAACCTTGTGGAAGATAGCAAATTTGGTCAGAATGGGGAAATTGGGAGTGAAAGGAAGAAGAGGCTAGATGCACGTGAGTTCTATGACTATGATGGTATTGATGGAAAGAGAATGAGGAAGGATTATTTACAAAGTAGGTTTATGATTGCTGGACGGAGTGGGAGTGAGCGGGAATTTGAAACTGGGTCTATTAGACATGTCATGATGAACAAGAGAAGTGAGAGGGAATTTGAAACTGGGTCTAGTAAACATGTCATGATTGACAAGAGAAAGCATTCTTATTTTGACGGTGCAAGTAACTCATCAGCTGGGAGGAAAAATGTTCCTGATTATACTGTAAAGAGTAGGTTTGGGATAGAGGACGGTGAAGCTCATTTACCCGTGTCGTCTTTGAGACGGGAGTTTCATGTTTCGTCTGATGAGACTATCAGGTTGCAGGGTAAAAATGGTGTTTTGAAGGTGATGGTAAACAAAAAGAAGAAGATGGAAGAACTACCTCACAAATTCTATGATCGTCAGTTGGAAGTTGAGAGTAGAAAGGGTTCTATTTCTGAAAATGCTATCAAGAAGAACACATTTGTCGGACCTTCATTGTACTCGTGTTCAAAACGGCATGAAAAAGAGACATCCGTCGGGCCTTCATTTTACTTGGGTTCAAAATGTCATGAAAAAAACTCATCTGTCGGACCTTCATTTTCCTTGGATTCAAAACATCCTGAAAAAAACACATCTGTCAAACCTTCATTTTACTCGGATTCAAAATGTCCTGAAAAAGCAATTTCATTTGTTAAAACGGAGAAGAGTGAGCTAAAACTGCGAAAGCCATTGTCTGTGATTTCTAAGGCTGGCAATTCAGAAACAGAGGACAGTGATACGTTGTTGAGGCTGGGACCAAGTGTACAAGCTCGTAGCTCATCAAAAGGGGTAAAAAGCGAAGGGAAAGCTCCATCAGCTGAAAAGATCATGCCAGATAGAGGGGAGGAAGGAAAAGTAAAGCGTGGTTATGGCAAAGAAAAGCAATTATTGCGTGACACATCATTGAGTCTGGGACCAAGAGTGCAACGTTGTGGCTCGTTAAAAAGGGTAAAGAAGAGTGAAGGGAAAGCACCATCAGCTGAAAAGATCATGCCAGATACAGGGAAGGAAGGAAAAGTAAAGCGTGGTTATGGCACAGAAAAGCAATTATTGCGTGAAAAGATAAGGGCTATGCTTGTGAGTGCTGGTTGGACAATTGATTATAGACCTAGAAGGAACAGAGACTACTTAGATGCAGTTTACATTAATCCCACAGGAACAGCATACTGGTCCATTATTAAAGCTTATGAGGCGCTTCAAAAGCAATTGGAGGAAGAAGATGCTGAAATAAAACCTACTGGGCACTCCTTGCAATTTACTGCATTACCAGAGGAGGTAGTTAGTAAATTAACTAGGCAAACCCGAAAGAAGGTTGAGAAGGAAATGAAGAGGAAGCGAAAAGATCATGGTAGGAGTAAGACTGTTAAAGGAGTTTCCATGGAAGAGTTTGCAGAGGGCACAGTCGGTGATGAGGATGACAAGAAACTAAATTTCGTCATGAAGCAGAATGGTAAGTCACCAAAAGGGAGATCACATGGAACAACTTGTGTGAGTGGAGATAATTCAAGTGGTGCTTTATACAAGGGATCATCCAAGCAAGAGAGGGCTGAAAAACCATCCACCACAACCAATTCTCATATGATACAAGCAAGAAAAAGTCGAAAAATTGGCAGATGTACCTTATTGGTTCGCAGTTCTGATAAGAAGTTAAATTCAGAAAGCGACAGCTATGTTCCATATACGGGGAAAAGAACCCTGCTTTCATGGCTGATTGATTCTGGAATGGTGCATTTAAGTGAAAAGGTGCAGTACATGAACCGTAGACGGACACGGGTAAAGCTGAAGGGTTGGATTAGTAGAGATGGCATACATTGTGGTTGCTGTAGCAAAATCCTTACAGTTTCGAAGTTTGAGATTCATGCTGGAAGCAAACTGCGACAGCCATTCCAAAACATATACGTGGAGTCTGGGGTTTCCCTTTTGCAACGTCAGATTGATGCTTGGAATAAACAAGAGGAGTCTGAACGCTGTGGTTTTCACCCTGTGGATGTTGATGGTGATCCAAATGATGATACTTGTGGCCTCTGCGGCGATGGTGGGGATTTGATATGTTGTGATGGTTGTCCATCAACATTTCATCAGAGCTGCTTAGATATACAGGTATATATGTAACATGATCACGCTGAAAATATTGCATGCCCTTTAGGCCATCTTCATCATGTGTGCATAAATGCTGAATTAATTGATTGTGATTTTCCATCTTTATAATCTTGTGGCTCCATAGAACCAATTGGAAGAAATGGATCCATGTAGCTGACATGCCTAGAGTTAATTCTAGGAAATAAAGTAGTTAATTCTAAGCTTCTATCATGCCTAGAGTCTGATAAAACAAACAATTATACAAAACAGAAACTTTTTCCAAAAATATTTAAACTAATCAATCAAAATTATCTAACATTAAAAATCATTATTGAAACATAAAATAGTCACATAGAAACTATTGGGGTTTCATCCCTAGGCTTAGCGAATAAGATTAGAACTCCATGGAAAAGAAGAAAAATGCAGTATTTATAAAAAAAATGTATGAATGAATCCCCCTCCCCCCCCCCCCCCCCCCCCCCAACCCAAAAAAAAAAAAGAAGAGTTTTTTCATGCATTTATAATGGAAGGTAAAATGTAAACCTAACTAATAAGAAAAGGAAAACTTATTAGCTTAATGCCCATGAAATATAATTCAATTGCTCAATGCAATCGGGCCTGTCTTGTGAGTGCTAGAACGCCGCACACGCACCGCTTCCGTGCATCAATCCATGTGCCTTGCACCCAAAAGAAATCCAACCATTTAATGCATCATTATTTTCTTGTTAAATCAACACGTGGATGGCATATTTAATGTGCTGAAATCCATTTATTTAATGCATCAACAAAGAATGCTAGGACCTTGGGCTTTTCCACTCAATCTCCACATGTGCACTATGGACTGTAGGTTAATTAGCTAAGTAGCACGGACACAAACAACAGTATGGATTCGGGACCCAATGATTTTCAAAAAACTAGACATGAGCACTTTGGGGGACACAACAATTATTTATTTATTATTAACTATGCATATGAATATAAATTTAGATTACATAGATATGAGAGGCATCGATGTAAAGGTGAGTGTGTTTATACTTTTTATTTTTTATTTTTCTTTATTCCCAATCTTTTTAAAATTATAAATAGAAAAACCTACAAAGGTGTCCTAAGGCATGTCCAGACACATGAGATGCGCATCCATGAAGTAGGGTTTAAATATTGGCAGTTATGTATCGTATTGGCCATTATGTATTGGGATTTTGAACTTTTGATATAGTTATTCATCCATATATCGGCAAATACTCTCCGATATTGGCCGTGATATAACCATATCACCAATACCAATACATAACTTGATATTGTTATTTAAAATCATGAAGTGTCCCCAACGTGTCCTACCAAAAAAATAATAATTAGAAAAATTGACATGTCATGTGGTGTGTCGTGCACGTGGATAGGTATGTCCATGTCCCCACTGCATTGGACATGGCATTGAGCTTGAAGTGTTGGTGCTTCTTAGTTAATTAGGTTTTCCTAAATAGAGTAAATTAATTCATTATACTCAAAATAAATATAAACTAAGGGAATTAATTTAAAAAACAGTCCCACTAGGTAGCTCGAATTCATTGTGGCTCGAATGGCTCGAGGTGCCAAAATGATGTTGTTTTGGCACCTTCTTTTTTTTCTTTTCTTCTTCCTCCCCCTCTCTTCCTCCTTCTCCCTCTGCTCTGCTCTGCTCTTCGAAAAAATCAAAATCAAAATCCAAAAAAAAAACCAAATTTACACAGATCTACACAAATCAACCAAATCTACACAAATAAAAAAAATCCAAATCCAAATCAAAATCTAAAATGAAAATCAAAACCAAATCTAGAGGAGAGGAGGGGAAAGAGATAGAGCAGAGACAGATCTATGTGTGTATACACACAGAGGACCATCGTGACGGTGATGGCGACAGTGCCGGTGGATGGATCTTTCTTTTTTTTTTCCTCCATTTTCTCTCTTTCTTCTCTCTTCCCTCTTCCCTCTTCTCCCTATTTCTCTCCTCTCTTCCCTCTTCTCCCTGTTTCAGAGAGAAAAGAAAGGGGGATAAAAAAAAAAACAGAGATAGATCTATGTGTGTATACACACGGAGGACCATCGTGACGGTGATGGAGACAGCGCCGGTGGATGGATCTTTCTTCTCTTTTCCTCCCTCTTCTCTCTTTTTTCTCTCTTCCCTCTTCCCTCTTCCCTCTTCTCCTTGTTTCTCTCCTCTGTTCCCTCTTCTCCCTTTTTCAAAGAGAAGAGAGGGGGATAAAAAAAAAAAATTCAAAACGACGTCGTTTTGAAATTCAGGCTAGTTGAGCCTCGAAAATTTCAAGCTACCAAGCTTTATTCTTTAAAAAAAGTGCATTAATACTTATAAAATTGATCAAATAATTACACACTTATAGACATTCACCACTTGTTGAACTACTGTGCTTTATTTCTTAGTCTGCTTGTAGAATTGGATTTAATTTTCATCTTTTTCCTCATTTCAGATGCTTCCTGCGGGTGATTGGCACTGCCCGAACTGTACGTGCAAATTTTGTGGTATTGCTGGTTTGGTTAATGCTCATAGAAATGGTACAAATGTCGGTGTGCTTTTGACTTGTGGCCTGTGTGAGAAAAAATGTAGTTTATCTGCCCTTGCCTTACTTTAGGGTTTATGTTTGTCTACAATGCTCTATCCACTTGCATGTTTTTGTTCAACTATTGGAATTTTTCTGAGGTTGGACTTTGCCCTTTTTTAGATCATGAATCCTGCAGTAAGGAGAAGGATGCTTTACCTGATGATTCAAATTGTTTATCCACTTCCTTTTGTGGGCAGAAATGTCGAGAGGTATTATGATCGTCTAATTTATTAAGTTTTCAATGTTGTATTGAGTAACGAAATCTCATTTTGGCTACATAAAGCATTGTGAATTCAATCAAATATTAGTTTTAAGGAAACCATGTTTACTTTATAAATGTTCCCTACATGTTCTTCTATAATGCCTGACTCATAGATATTTGGTGATGCCAAAGTCTTGCTAGGAAGGTTCTTTTTATATTCCTTTCAAACATGCTGAGTAATTAGTTACAATAGTTTTGATCTTCCCTTCTTGCAATTCATTTTTCTTGTCACATTTATAATTTAACCCCCCCCCCCCCCCCAAAAAAAAAAAAGAAAAAGAAAAAGAAAATGAACAATGTCATTGAATACTCTTGTTTTCCTAAAGTTTTATTTTCTACTAACCACTCTAAGTTTCCATTTGTTGAAAAATACATTTGTTAAATATTCAATAACCTATCTGCAACTTGGATGTGATAAAACTCATCCAATTATAACATTACAAAAAATAAAAGTGAAAATTGTCCTCTGTCTACTAGCATATTGGTGCACTCAATTCATTGGAATGGCCAGAGAAGTGTCAGTGGAAGAGTTTAATTCACATTTAATGTACTTGAAATAAATGTAAAACAATTATAAACTGTACTCATATAAATAGATTAGATAATGAAAGAGAATGTGTTTGACAGCAGGGTGTGTTTACCTTAAAAAGAAGAGGGAAAAAAAATGAGCTGGCTTCATTCCTTCTCCCTTTATAATAATTGCGGAAAAGTCTGTCATAGACCAGTGGCAATAAGAAATTGTAAACAGTTAACCATTGAGTTTAGTATTGTTATTTCAGGCCTATAAGTTGAACGTTTAATATCCAATACTGAATAAATGTGCTATAGTAACCACCACTTTCTCTAAAAAGAGATAAGAGCTTTTAATTACTTTTAAAAGAGGGCCAGATAAGAGTAAAATAGATTATTTTCTTGTAAGAAAAACAAATCCCTTAATATGTAAGGATTGAAAGGTTAACCTCAGAGAAAGTTTATCTTCACAACATAGGTTAACAATAATAGAAATATACATTAAGAGCAAATCAAACTAGTAAAGTTATTAAAAAACCCATGAACTAGATGATGAAATCTAAAAGGTAAGAAATTAGAAATTTTTAAGGATAAATTTTTTAAAGAAGCAACGTTGAGTTTGGAAGGTGATGTTAATAACATGTAGAATACTATGGCGGAATGCATTAAAAGAAAATCAAAAGAAGTCTTTCAAGAATCAAAGGAAAAAGGTTGTTCATCTAGAGATACTTGGTGGTGGACTAGTGAGATATAAGTCGTAGTGAAAATAAAAAATGATTTTTTTCAAAAGTGGCAAGGAGGATAAAAATAAGAAAAATTTGAGGAGATACAAGTTGGCTAATAAGGAGGTTAAAAGGATAGTTAAAGATGTTAAACCAAAAGCCTACGATGATCTTTATACTAGATTAAATACTAAAGATGGAGAAAAGAATATATATGAACTTTCTAAATTGAGATTGAAAAACAAGAGACTTTAATCAGTAAGTGTATAAAAGGTGAGGATTTGAGGGTGCTAGTGGAAGATGAGGATATTAAGGAAATGTGAAGTTATTTTTAAATTTTTTTAAATGAAAAACATTTAGAAAACTTAAGAGGAGATGAATATGATAGCTTTGATGGAATTAAATAGTATAGGTTTGATGGGATTAGCGAATATAGGTTTGATCATCTACTAAGAGAATTTGAGGTGAAGTTTGCACTGAAGAAGATAGAGGAGATGAATATGATAGCATTGATGGAATTAAATAATATAGGTTTTATTTATCCAAAATAAAAAAATAAAAAAAAATCAAGGCATTAGGAAGATTGTATCCCTATTGAGGCTTGGAAATACTTAAGTAAGGTGGGGGTGTCTTGGTTAAGAAAATTCTTTAATAAGATTCTAATAACTAGGAAAATACCTAACGAGTGGAGAACATGTATTTTAGTACTTATATATTAAAATAAAGAAAATATTCAAAATTGACACAACAATAGCATTAAAATTTGTTTAAGAGTTACAACAACAGTGTAAGTGAATTAGTTTAGATTTATGGAAGTGAAATGTAGGAATTTGCCATGACAATAATTTTAGTCAATTGAATTTTGGTGTTCACTAATTGATTTAGTTTCAATTTGTTGCATTAGTCTGTTTGATAACTGAACTGTTTGTTATTCTGCATGGTGTTTTCTACTCCTATGGTGTCCATGTTGCATCTTATGTTGATGGAACTGAGTTGAATCTGAACCCTTCTTCTGCAGCTCTTTGACCATTTAGAGAAGCTTCTTGGGGTCAGACATGAATTGGAGGCAGGATTCTCATGGTCTATCGTTCATCGAACAGATCTGGACACAGATGCATCTGACCATGGGTTTCCACAGAGGGTGGAATGTAATTCTAAGCTTGCCGTTGCACTCTCTGTTATGGATGAGTGCTTTTTGCCTATTGTTGATAGGAGGAGTGGGATCAATTTGATCCATAATGTTCTCTATAATTGTGGGTAAGTATACTTGCTTGGGAAATTTTGGATTTTGTACACATGCATTTCAGTTTTGCCCGTGATCTTTATTCTCACAACCTTGCTTTTGCATTCTGTGTTGCACTTCGCTGAACAAGTTGCTTCCCTAGAAGCAGTTATCCGAGGCATGCATTAGTTATTCATGTACTTTTGTGTGTGTGAGCATGAGGATAAAATAAAAAAAAAAATCATTTTTATTTTTTTGGTTACTTTTGTACAGTCACATGTGTAGAACTGATTATTATCCAGTAGAGTAGTTTTCAGTTAATTGAAAAGTTCGGAGGATGTTTCTAAGCATGGATACGGATGTGGGACAAAAAAAGAAAAAAGAAAAAGGGTATAGTTTCAAAAAGTTTAGGACACCACACAGAATATGTATTTTTTTATTTTATTTATACACATGAAAATAATAACTATTTCTTTTCTTTTCTTTTTTTTTTTTTTTGTACAGTTCAAATGCATTTATATTTTATTCTATCAAAATAGTAAGATATCGTTTTTGACACTCTACATATTAGAAAAAAAAGTGTGAACAAAAAGTCTTAATATCTGTTTTAAAAAGCTCTATTTAAATAAATTTGAAGTTTTAAGCTTTAGAATTTCTAAAATTAAGAAGTCTAAAGGAGAGTTTAATAAGGTATAAATCCACAATGTTTTTATTTTATCATTGGATCCTAATTCCCAAGTTATTTTCTTCAAACTTGCAATGGGTTTCATATGTGTCTAAGCCATGCACACGTGTGTTCTCCAAGTATCCAAAGCTTGGCTTTTTTATTTTTTATTATTATTTTTTTTATGTTTGGGTGCATTTTCAATATGTGTCCGGGAGTGTCCAATGGGTGTCAATACAGACATGTCACCTTCTTACAAGTAGTCATGCAAGTTAGGAGGATGTATTGTGATTGCCTATCTATGTCTTTATTGGAGCTTTTCCATGTCTGTTATTTGTTTGCTCTAGTATGACCAGTTTTTCCAGTTTGTAATGTATTTATTTGGCTTCCAATTCAACTTCTTTAGGCCATGTAGTGTTATTTAACTATATCACCTTACAGCAGTCACTTTTGTTTTTCACATTTTAAACTGTCATGCCAATGTGTATGTGTTCCTTTAGCTCATGTTGTGATTCGCTTATTTCCTTTGTAGATCAAACTTAAGTCGCCTGAACTATAGTGGCTTCTATACTGCCATTTTGGAGAGGGGTGATGAAATCATTTCTGCAGCATCCATCAGGTATAGTAATGGCTCATTGATTTATGTCATCGATGTGTTGCATATGCAGCTAATAGTTTCATCCAGTTTTCTGTGGCAGCAAGAATTAAATGGGTGGCATTGCAAATATTTTAATAATTGCATTTGTCGATTGTCTGATTAGGATCCACGGGACCCAACTAGCAGAGATGCCATTCATTGGGACACGTCATATATATAGACGCCAAGGGATGTGCCGTCGGCTTTTTTCCGCAATTGAAATGGTAATGATTGCATTTTTTTGTGATACATTATACATATATTTCTATATTTTATTGTCAAAGCATATTACGTCTCTGCCATTATCAGAACAACTATCACTTCCCTTACCATTACCTGTGGTATCTAGTACTTTTGTTTGCGACAAGGACATTGAAGAGTAATGAAGTTCAGCTCCATTGTCTTCATATTTAAAAGCTCCATTGTCTTCATTTTTAAAACTTTCTTTTTCTTTTCTTTTTTCTTTCTTTTGTCTTCGTTGGTCACATGCATGTTTCCAGTTTCATATATATGTGCATGCTTTGTGGGTTGGTATTTAGATCTTTAATTGCCATTTGCCAGTGTCAACTATTTACTCTTCTATTATATCGGGCGAACTTCACTCTCTCTCTGTGTTGGGCATTGGGAAGTGGCTGGTTCGGTGTGTTTCAGTTCATCTTTTTAGTTGCCTCTAGATTATTTTATGCCAATGATTTATGTTGAATATTCCTATTCTCAGGTGCTCTGCTCTCTCAAAGTTGAGAAATTGATTATTCCAGCCACTGCTGAGCACATGCATACATGGACTGGAGTGTTTGGTTTCAATCCACTTGAGGAGTCACAGAAGCAAGAAATGAGATCCATGAATATGTTGGTGTTTCCTGGTACAGATATGTTACAGAAGCTGCTTGTGGAACAAAAAACCACTGATGGAAATATAATTGCTAACTCAGGTTTCTGTTGATTGCAATTATTTGTCACTGCCTTGAAACACATTTTTAGTTATTTTTCTAGTTTTTTAGTTAACTTTCTGCATTTTTTGCTTTAGGTGTAAAGTCTGTTATGATCAAAGTCAAACATCATCTTATGCCTGATTTAGCAAAAAAATCTGATGCGGATTCCTTGGCTGGGTGTGACCTCAACATCTGTGATGATGCTAGTTTGCAAAATGCTGATGAGATTAATGACAAGGCTGCTGCTGTAGATTCCAGTTTGCAAGTTCCAGACATTCCCTCAAATGATAAGGCATGTTTGGATAGTTCTTTTGATGTTCCTTCTGAACCTGAAGTCCCAGTCTTGAGTGAGGTGAAGACTACTCAGTCAGTAGAAAACTTAACCGAATCTTCTGTGAATCATGCCCTCCTTGAGATGGAAAACCCTGTATTAGATCCTTCAGTTAAAGGTAAGTCTTCTATGGAGAAAGTTATAAATGACGTTCATGAAGCAAATATTGAAGCTGCTGTTATGGGGCCCGTTCATGATTTATTAGGTGAATCTTCAACCATGAATACTGCTGAGGAGATCAAGGGAGATCAGAATTTTCTCTCTGGTTCCACTTTGAATGGAACAGATGATACTACCAAGAAATTAAACTCTGACTTGAATCCGAGTGCAGTTGACATGGAATGCAAGCTGCATGTTGCTTCAGAGGTTTCTTCTGAAGCCAAAGTCGAACTTGTTGAAGATAATATCCAGTCTTCTACAGCGAGTGACAGTGATGGTGCTCGTGAAACTAATTTTGAAGTTGCTTATGTTAAACCTGTTCTGGGTTCTTTTGGTGACATTTCTGGACAGAATACTACTGAGGAAATAAATGATAATCTGAATCCTGTTTCTCTTTCTACTCCTTGTGATACTGATGAGAGTAACATGCGATGCAGCTCTGATTTGAATCATCAGAGTACATTTGAGGTGGAAAGTGAATTTCTTGTGCCTCATGAATTTAATGACAAAGTTGCTTGTGTTAAACCAGATCGTGATTGTTTTGGTGAAATTTCTGCCCAGAATAAAGATGTCAATGAAGATCAGAATCCTGTTTCTGCTTTGGTTTTCGATGAGAGTACCATTCGATTCGACACTGATATGAAAAAGGTGGAAAGCAACTTGCATGCAGCTTCGGAAGAAGTTGCAAAAGTTAGAAGTAATATTCCTTCTAATGCAGACGATGATGCAGGTGAAGATGCTAATGAGGTAAATGTAATTGATGCATCTGTTGAACCTATTGTTAACTCTTCAGATGGAACTTCTGTGGGGATTGCAACTGAGGTAGTCAAGGAAAATGTCGCAGTTTCAACTTTCCATGGATCCCACCACTCTGGTGGAAGTACTGTTCAATTTGAATCTGACTGGATTCATCATAGGGCTACTGAGATGGAAACTGTAATTGATGTTTCTGTTGAACCGATTGTTAACTCTTCAGATGGAACTTCTGCGGAGAATGCAACCAAGGTAGTCAAGGAAAATGTCACAGTTTCAACTTTCCATGGATCTGATGACTCTGCTGCCAGTACTGTTCAATTTGAATCTGGCTGGATTCATCATAGTGCTACTGAGGTGGAAACTGAAATTCATGTGGATTCAGAAATCCCAGCTGATGCAATGTTTTGTGAAAGTGATATTTAATTATCTAGTGCAAATTGAGGGATTGATGACATTTTGATCTGCTTGTATCTGATATGATCTTGATAGCCATGCATCACAAATGCTGGAATGCAGCTTATATTCTTGGTTTCGAGGGCTCTGTTGCAATTACTGTTTCATGAATCATGATAGCCAAAATTCATAGGGCAACCGATGCGATCTCCACCGCTTTGAAGTATGAATTCCAGGGTTCTGGTCAAGGCAGCAAATTCTAGGGTACTGGTCCAAGACAGTGCACAATGATTATCGGTTCCAGAAGATTTGAAGAGGTTAGCAAATGTGCCTTTGCTGTGATTTGCAATTTACCAAAATAGCTTTGGATATTGGGAAGCCCAGTGGTGAAGTTCTCTGCCTTGTTAATGTTTTTCCTGGAATTCGGCCAACAGCTTTTGTGATGTGCTGAGTTTGTTAGATAAATACTCTGAATTTTAGCTTTTCTTGTGTACATTTTAGATTTGTTTTTTGTGTTTTCTGTGTTTCAAGGCCTTGTAATTTATCATTTTGACATGGTAATTTGGTCCTCACATGAGGCTAGGCAATTCTTGGACAGGTCAGTCCTCCGTAGGTCGTGGAACTACCATCATGAGTTATGTAATTTACAACAGTTTTAGTTGCAGATCCTGATCTTATGAACCGAGTATAAAATAAATTGTTCTCTTTTTAACTCAATATCTGTAGATGCGGCTGAATGTAGTTACTGGATTCGTTTCTTTTGATGATACGATCATTGCAATCTGTATTTTTCAGTTTCATTAACTTCTAGTCTTCAAGCTCGTGTGGTTTTCAAGCTCCTCATGTTTAGGTTTCTTGTTGGTTGGGTAGGAGGCAGGTCCATTCTGTGGTGTTCCAAAACTGTTGATTCTGTTTCTCGTTTTGTCTGACATGTGCATGTCATGATATTGTTCCGAGATTATTGAATAAATGTCATTGTATTCCGAGACTACTGAATAATAATTATTTTTTTATGTACTTAAAGTCAAGTAATTGTTATGTGGTTTATACAACTTCCTTTGTTGTGGGATCCACTTACAAGGAACGTGCAGGCATGTCTGCCTTCAAATTCAGTGATTTTGTTTTGGTTCCTATTATGAGTTGCAGACATATATTGTTTCCCTTCTCTCATTGAGGACACATTGCACCAAATGCTTGAGATGAGCAGAAGAGCATGATTTGCAGAGTGGGCTGCCGTGGGTGAAGCTAGAGAACTTGTTGGGGGTGTAATTCGGCTACTTTTGAAGATGCCGGGAGGGGCAATGGAGGTATACACTGGCGTAGTACCTCACCTCTGTGGCGTGTTGTGTAGGGTTAAGCGTCGGTTGGGTTTTCGAAGGCTTAAGGTGGAAGAAGAACCACTTGTTCCAATTAATAGGAGATTTCGGATTGTGGGTTTTGTGATTATGGTGTCCAGGGTGTGGAGGAAGAGATTTCAGGGCATAAGAATTAAAATGTAATAATTCATCCCCTCAGTCAATTTGTACTCTTTTATATTAAATTGGAAACATATTTCTGTCTATATTGTAATTCTATTCTACATAAAAAGCCAAGATAGAGATCTTCTGTTCGAATTTGTTTATTTTTGTTCCTTTGTTTTGAATTATCTCTCCATTAGGCAATAAAAATCTATTGAATGGTAAAAAGATGGTTCACAGGCCAAAAAGGATTTGAGACAATATGACCCATTCTGTTTTATAAAAACTAGCAAGTCACATTAAAAAAGAAAAGTAGTCTTTAATAATTTTTTTAAAAACTTCTGCCAATTTATTATTTTGTTTATAGGTTACGAAATTTACAAGAATCTAAAAAGTAAATTTTAAAAAAAATTCTTTAAAAAGTCTACCCAAAAAATAAAAAATAAAAAAAATTGAAACTTGAATGGTCTAATAAGTCCTTCAATATCCCCTAACACTATGTTTAGAAACCTATGAGAAAAAATAAAAGAAATGATTCCTTAAGTTAAAAGAGAAAAGAAAAGAGATGAAATAATTATGATTTCTCTCTTTATTTTGGATAAGTAAGAAATAAAAGAAAAGAAATAATTGTGATTTATCTCCTTCTTGTTTGGTTAGATTTCATAAGAGAAAAGAAAAGAAACTATTTTATGTTATATTACCAAAATAACCTTTTGTTGGATATGAAAAGCCCTTAAGGACATGGATGTCAATTATTTTATTTCTTTTATTTTTATAAGGACAAAATTGATATTACGAAAATATAACAATCCGTTGGTTTCTTTCCTCTCACAATCTCTTCGCCTTTGGAAAGATTAGAAATGAAAATTATAAAAGAAATGAGTTTCTCTCTATTTCTTTTCATTTCTTTCATTTTCTCTGCACTTAAATTATCAAAACAAGTAAGAACAATACATCAGTCTTCATTTTTTTTTTTTCTTTCCAAATCACTTAATCCAAACACGGTGTAAAAATTTTAATGGATAATTAAGGGGGAAATTTGCATTTGATCAAAATAAACTGTCAATTGTTTTGCATCTCTCCCTCTTTCTCCGATCCGATGGAGCTTTCCGTCTCTTCTCATCTCCTCAACTCTTCTTCTTCTTCGTCTCAGTTACCGAAAACTAGGGTTAGGGTTTCACACAACACTCTCACCCCATTCGGCTTCCAACAACAACAACAACAACAACCACCACTGTCCTCTACACATCTCCGCCGCAGCCTCAGTCCAATGGACGCTCACCGGAGAACAATCACTCGCGCCTCTATCGTCCAAGACAATGGCTCTCCGCCAACGCCCTCACCAATTAACATCGGTACAATCCCTAATTCATTTCTCTTCAATTCGATCCCAACTTAAAGGCTTTCAAAATTCCAATTTGTTTTTTTCCCCCCACTTTTTGTAGGTGCTCGAATCGGAGAGGTGAAGAGGGTTACGAAAGAGACCAACGTGTCGGTGAGAATAAACTTGGATGGTTCGGGTGTCGCTGACAGCAGTACTGGGATTCCATTTCTTGATCATATGCTTGATGTTAGTTTTCCTTTTGTTTTGATGATTAATTTATAATAATAATATATAAAAAAATTCTTTTCACTGTTTTTCAGCAGAAAGACGTAATTTTGATGCAATTTAAGTGAATGAACAATTTAAATTGTACTAAACTATAAAATCCATTAGGATAATTGGAAAATTATGCTATGTTTGGTTGCTGAGAAAGTGTAGTGAGTGGATAAAAACAGTAATATTTCAAATCTTACATTGCGCATTTCTCATTATGGAACTGAGAAAGAAGAAAAACCTTCATCCAGGGGAGCTCACCCAAAGATTTGATTTAAGTCCAAGTTTTGATTTGTGTAACCAAAAAATATACTTACTATGTAACTTTTCTTTTTCTTTTTTTCATGGAAAACAGCTGAAGAGTGATGTATTCTTTGCCTTTTTTTCCCCTTTTTTGATGCTTTACTTACTGCTGTATATTTTGAATCTGATTTTTTTTTTCTCGTTATGTTTATATCAGCAACTTGCTTCACATGGACTATTTGACGTGCATGTGAAGGCTACTGGTGATATTCATATTGATGATCATCACACGAATGAAGATGTTGCCCTTGCCATTGGAACGGTAACCTCCTAAATGCATTCATTCACTAGATTATTGTTTATCCTTTAGTGGGTTAGGGCGTGAAACATCGTGTTTTTCATGCCATTTGTACCAAGTTCCTTTATAAAAGAATGTGTCATATTTCTGTATAAAGGATTATCTTATACCTAGGGTTTCAGTATTTGCCTTGGTGCTATTCCATATCATTCAATTTGGTAATGCCGCTGTTTTGATGTTTTGGACTGTATGTGTATATAATATACTATGTAGAAACATAGAAATTGGTTCATTTCCACAGGGGATCTAAACTATACCATCTTGCTCTAGTAACTTTACATGCATATTCATGAGTTTGGGTCTTGAAACTTACTTACTGGTTCATGCAGGCTTTGCTGCAGGCACTTGGTGACAGAAAAGGAATTAACCGTTTTGGTGACTTCTCAGCTCCACTTGATGAAGCACTAACACATGTGGCACTGGTATGTTTCCAGTGTATATGGAATTGCTTTAGTATAAAGGCATTTCTATTAGTAACCTGTGATATCACACAAGGGTCCATTTGTTGTTATGTTGTGGTGGCTTGGAAGCAATTCTTGTTCCAAAGTACTTTAGCTTAGTGTATGCTTGGTAAGTTGGTAACACATTAAGTACTTTGAGATGACAAGGGTTAAACTCTTTTCTTGGTTACATGTTATGTTGTTTCTATAGAAGTTCCTATCAAAAAATACGTTTACTGGAAGCCACTCCTCCTGGAGGCACGCGCAAACAATCACACTAGTTTAAACATGGTAAAAATGTCCATCAAGTAAAAACAATTTCAAACAGGATTTTGGAGGTTGAAATTCTAAGATGGGACTCGTCATTACAAGAGTTCTAAAAACAGGACTTTTAGGTAAGTAAACCCTTTTTTAGGCATTTTGTACAAGCCTTGGGGAATTCACAGATATGTCGTGTTTGAAATTTTGTACACATGATATGGAGGATATGTAACTAGCACACAACTTACTAGAACCAAAAGTTTTCCATCATAACATGACAGAAAAAGTACATGCATGTTATTTGTTCTTTTTTATAAGTGCATTTGTTTATTCTTATTTAAACTTTTTTTGTGTGTTGTCTAGGATTTATCTGGACGGCCACATTTAAGTTATGATTTACGCATACCTACCCAGAGAGTTGGAACTTATGATACACAGGTAGTCGCTATTTCTTTCTTTTTAACTCAGCATCTACAATTTGTTGCTCCATTTTTTTCTGATTCCTTTAGAGTAAGTGAAACGTGTCTGCATGCTGAGTCTGTGATATATTGATTCTGATAATAATTAACTTCGGTGAATTGTATCTGTTGTTGTCCTAGCACTAACCATTTCATAGCCTGAAAAAAGAACGCTACACTTGGTTTTGAACCCTATGTATGAAAATGCATTGCTTCTAGAGTCTTTTCCTATATTTTGATGTTTTTTTTTCTTAGATACAAATAATGAGCTGAAACTTAAAGGGTTTGAAAATGCTATTGAACAAGTTAGGAAAACCAAATAATAACTAAACATAGGGTTTAATATTTCTATAGAACAAGTTAGGAAAACAATATAAATATCTAGGTTATCACCTTCTGAGTGATTTTAATGTCTCTTCAAGTATACCATGTTGGCTCATTCTAATTACTGCATCAATGTATATTTAGACATGTTAAAATTGATCGAAATTCTCAGTAGGATTGGCCGACCCAATTGCATCACGGTCTGTTAACTAATGCAAACCTTGCTCTGAAATGGATGTCAGTGAATAATATGCTTACTTAGTTGACTAAAATAATATCAAATGGAATATCTACCATTTCCTCCTGTTGCTTGTTTTGCCCAGCATCATATTGGAAACTTCAGTGGCTGAAAATGATTTATCCGTGGAGACTATAGTGTGCAATTAGGTTGCCAGGTATCCCTGATCCTTGTGTACAGTTCCATTAGTTGTGCCCATGCCTGTAATTTTGAGTGAATAACTCGCCCCTTTTCCAAATGCTTTTTTATCTGTTATTTTATATAATTAAGGGTGAAATAGTAAGTTTCTGGATTATGTAATCTGAAAACACACATTACCTTAAAACATTCTGTCTTATATTTTCATAATAGAGGTTGTCTTGAAATCCTTATATATAAACGAGAATGTGTCTATTGAAATCTATATTTGAACGATTATGAATCTATTGAAATCCTTGTGAATGATTTTGTGTTTACATACATAAAGCACTGATGAATATGGCAAATTTAGGATAATCTTAGCCGTATCATTTGAATTCTACTGCTTTGTTTGAGAGAATCTCACCAATGAATTCACTGATATATTTGTGGGACTTGTTGTACAGCTGGTGGAGCACTTCTTCCAGTCTTTGGTCAATACTTCTGGTATGACACTTCACATTCGCCAGGTAATAATACTCAGAGTTTCTTGGCCTTCAGCCTTAATAAATCTTTGTTTGTTGATGATCAAAAAAAAAAAAAAGAAGTTTCTTGTGCTTAAATTAGTGAATGTTAATATTTGTTTGCTGGTGACAATGATCCAAATTTTTTTCTTTCCTTTAGGAAGAATCTTAACTTCATCTAGAAACACATACAAATACATACATATCTTCTTTATGCTCACAGAACTAGACGTTGCTTTCAATCTGATGTGGCTGCAGTTCAGTTTAATATTCTAGTTTTTTTTACTTTAGTTAATTATGGCATGGAATAATATCTTCATTTCTGTCAAAAACAGCTTGCTGGGAAAAATTCTCACCATATAATTGAGGCAACCTTCAAGGCTTTTGCAAGAGCACTTCGACAAGCAACAGAATATGACCTACGTCGTCATGGGACTGTGCCAAGGTTTGTGATCATTTTTTAAGGTGACTGCATGATTTGGACACCTAAGGTCTCAAACAAACAATTAATCCCAATACATTTCTATCTCTTCAAAATAGCCAGTGTAGAAGTTTTGAGTGTTCTATGACTATAGTAGCTTTGTTATGAACACGCTTTTTGTCTTTCTTTTTTAATCTTAATTAATTTGTTTCGCAAGCTATTGCCTACCAGTTTCACACTTTATTTTTTCATATAGATAATTTTATGAATGAGGATGTTATTTGGCATTTGTGTTCCATGTTTCATTGTTTGAAATTGAATTGCCATATTCCAAGTTTTTAAGTCATTGTTGACACCAACCCTTTTGTTACAGGGGTGTTTGGCAAAGGCTATTTTTTGGCTAAAATTTATAAAAAGATAAAATAGGCTAAAATAGCCAATAAAACAAAATGTTACATCAAATTCATAATCATTTCATTTTTTTCTCACAAACATCACATCTAACTACAAAAAAAATCCAACTATCTTCCAAAACACAAAAATTTTAGCCTACTAAAATAGTCAAAAACTAAAATAGTCTACTAAAAATAGCAACTTTCCAAACACCCACGTAGTATTTTGAGCATGTATGCAACCAAATAGGTAGCTTATAGGTACTATAAGGAATCAAAATTATTATAGATTTGCTTGATCAAGAAAGCATCAAGTTCAACTAATTCTGTTCCTCTGTCAATTTAAATGCCAAAAGCCCATGAACCCTCATAATCAAATATATGAACATATTATTCTAAATGTTTACGCCACTTTGTCTGAATGCAGCTCAAAAGGGGTTCTGTCGCGTACTTGATACTCTTAGATCATCAGACAAAGGTGGATCATTATAACCAGAAGGTAGCACACATGAACCTCCCCGTTTTAATTATTTAAAACATACTACTTTGAGATTCATTCTTATAATTTCCCATATTTTGCAGCTAAAATTATTCATCAGAACAGTGCCATTACGATACTGCAAAAATGAATTAATGTGATGCTATATATGCTGTTCTGGTGATGGATGTTCAAGGCGTTGAAACTTGGAGGCAGTCAATGCTCGTGTATTCAATTTATGCACACTTGGAAACAAGAAGTTACGCGTGTCATTAACAATAAAACATTTGTAAAATTATGTTAAATGTGGAGCTCTTCATTTGCTAGTTGTTTGTTGTTCAGAAACCAATGACCACTATGTTAGGACTTGTGATGTTGCAACATTTCTTGAAAGCAGTGCATTTTCTGCAGATTCCACCAAGTTGTGTTTCTCTTAGAACAATAGAAATAACATAGGTGAACTCATTTACATTTTGTTTTGAATGGTATACCTTATCAAAACCTGCAGTTCGAATCAATGGAAGCTTAATTGTGTTTGTGTATGTATTTTTATTTTATTTTTTTTTGTGTTAAATTTTCAATCTTTCCAAACATTGCAACTTGGTTTCATGATGTACACGCAGCATTCGAGTAGAAGTATCTACCCCATTATGATCTAACAAACCCACGCACTTTTAAAAATCAGTCTATTTTGTTAAAATCAATTTACACGGTTAAAAATCTATGGCCTGTACAAATCAATAACAATCTGTATGAATCAGTCTATGAATCTATATAACCTAAATAAGCATTTATTTTATATAGTATTAGTTTAGGTTTGTATGACTTGTATTATAGTTTTGAAAGAGTAAATGTTGTTCAAATAACAAATGTTATAAATTTAGTTTTTAGGGATTTACTTAGAAGTTTTAATAGGAAAGTTTATTACCCAATAGGTTTTGTGAGAATTAATGATATTTTTTATTAAATACTATTAAAAATGTCATTAATTGTTAATTTTCATCGATAATTTGAAAATTGTCACAAGAAATATTATTAATTATAAGTTTTAGTGACAGTTTAAAAAATTATCATGAAAAAGTTGCTAATCTTTAATTTTTAGTGACAATTTAAAAAATTTGTTACAGTAAAACGTCACTAATTATATATTTTAACAATAATTTATAAAGATTATAACAGAATTAATGATATTTTTTATTAAATACTATTAAAAAATGTCATTAATTGTTAATTTTCATCGATAATTTGAAAATTGTCACAAGAAATATTATTAATTATAAGTTTTAGTGACAGTTTAAAAAATTATCATAAAAAAGTTACTAATCTTTAATTTTTAGTGACAATTTAAAAAATTTGTTACAGTAAAACGTCACTAATTATATATTTTAGCAATAATTTATAAAGATTATAACTAAAAAAAACGTTAATTATTAATTTTTAACAATATATATAAAAAGATCCTCACAAAAAAGTTATTATTTATTTTTAATATAATTTAATAAAAATTAAATCTAATTATTAGAATCTATCATAGTTTTATTGAAATGAATCTTTTATGTTGCTTTAACACAACGGTTGAGAATAATTTGTAATTTTTTTTTTAAATAAAATAATTGACTCCACTCTTTTTTTTCATGGCTCCTATATATTCTCTCCTCTTCTGAGGTCTCAGCTTTTTACCATTTGATTCTCTCAAATCCGGTCATATTATTTTTACCTTTCGTTGTGA